AAACCCCTGATGTGTCTTCATGTCAGGGCCCTGGGTGCCACTTCATTCTCCAGTCCGTTCCCTCTCCTCATGACGACAGCTAACAACAGGAAGACTCCAGGATTTCTATAGATATTAACCCAGTTCTCGCCACCATCCTGTATGATTTTGCCTGAGTCACAGATGAAGAAAATGAGATACAAAATGGTGAAATAACTTTCCCCAAATCACATAGCTCAGAGGGTGGTTCAGCCAAGATTCAAATCTAGTAGACGCCTCCAAAGTCTGAGCTCTTGACCGTTAAAGGACTATTTCATATCTCCTGTCCTCCTCTCAAACATCCAGCACCTCCTCCTCCTCCTCTGACCTGTTTCAGTTGGTTATCTTCTTGGTTTTTTTCCAGTGAGGGTCCCCAGTAAAGAACTCCCACAAGTCCCTACCATCACAGCTATCCACATAATAGCACTGTGCCTGTAGATTCTGCCCAAATTATTATTCTGTCTTCTTCTACTTAAGCCAACCCTTCCACTTGGGTACTTGGCCTCATCCCCTCCCAAAAACATCACTCCAGCGACTGCCACATCCTATACCATCAGTTTTTCCCTCTACAAGCGGTATCCCCATTGGTACACATTCATTCTGCCGTTGTTTCCAATTTAAATCTCCAATGGATTGAGAATTTTAAAGCAATTAAGCTAGGTGAAATAAATCAGATCCCCCGTCCTCAATTTCCTGTGCTTCCATTTTCTAAAATTCTAGACAGTGAACACTAAACCACTAAACGAGGATGACAAAAAGTACACTTGAGGGGAAGGGACTAAGGGAGGGATTACCAAGGGGCCGGAGGAAATTGTGAGGGTGCTGAGCATATTATCTTGACGGTGGTGGTGCCACGGGTATACACATATCCAAGTGTATCAAGCGGAACACTGTAAATATGTGTAGAGTGCACCAATTATATCTCACTGATTAAAAACACATACACAAGCCGGGCTCGGTGGCTCAGCCTGTAATCCCACGCCTTTGGGAGGCTGAGGTGAGTGGATTGCCTGAGCCCGTGGGTTCAAGACCC